GTTGAGATATATATATATAGTGCACATTGTTGTGCAACCAATCTCCAGAACTTTCTATCTTATAAAACTGAAAGTCTATACCCCATTGTCCCTCTGTACCCCATTGTCTTTCACCCTCAGCCCTTGGTAACCACCATTCTACTTGAGATTGATTACTCATATAAGTGGAATCATACAGTATTTGTCTTTTTGTGACTGGCTTATTTCACTTAGCATTATATCCTCAAGGTTCATCCATGTTGTAGCATGTGTCAGAATTTCCTTTTTTAAGGCTGAATAATATTCCATTGTATGGGTATACCAAATTTTGCTTATCCACGCATCCATCAATGGATCCTTGGATTGCTTCAATCTTTTGGCTATTGTGAATCATGCCACTATGAACATGGGTATACAAGTATCTCTTTGAGACCCTGCTTTGGTGATTTTATATATATATCCATTCAGAAGTGGGATTGCTAGATTATATGGTGATTCTGTTTTCACCTTTTTGAGGAACTGCCATAGTACTTTCCATGGCTGTTGTAGCAGTTTACATTTTCCCCAACAGTGTACAAGGGTTTCAGTCTTTTCTTCCTCTTTTTTTTTTTTTAAGATTTTATTTATTAGAGAGAGAGAGCACAAGTAGGCAGAGAGGCAGGCAAGGGAGAGGGAGAAGCAGGCTCTCCATTGAGCAGGGAGCCCAACGTGGGACTCGATCCCAGGACTCTGGGATCATGACCTGAGCTGAAGGCAGCCGCTTAACCGACTGAGCCACCCAGGCGCCCCTCCTCTTTATTTTTTTAATTTGTCAGCTAACGGTCTCTGAATTACTTTAAAATTTCTATTCCCAGCTATAATCTATTTCCCAAAATCCAGTCCCACATTTATAATTGTATGCTATTTAAAGTCACTTGATAGGGGTTTGGGGGATGGGGTAATTGGGTGGTGGGCATTAAGGAGGGCGCATGATGTAATGAGCACTGGGTGTTATATGTAACAGATGAATCACTGAACTCTACCTCTGAAACTAATAATACGTTATATGTTAATTGATTGAATGTAAATAAAATTAAATTTAAAAAGGAAATACATAGAAAAGAAATACACGACACAACACTTATCACAATAGCTGAAAATAAAAAAATGCTTATTTCGCTCAATCAGAGAAAGACATGTATCGTATGATCTCACTGATATGAGGAATTCTAATCTCAGGAAACAAACTGAGGGTTGCTGGAGTGGTGGGAGGTGGGAGGGATGGGGTGGCTAAGTGATAGACATTGGGGAGGGTATATGCTATGGTGAGCGCTGTGAATTGTGTAAGACTGTTGAATCACAGACCTGTACCTCTGAAACAAATAATACATTATATGTTAAAAAAAAAAGAAGATAGCAGGAAGGGAAAAATGAAGGGGGGGAATCGGAGCAGGGAGACGAACCATGAGAGACTATGGACTCTGAGAAACAAACTGAGGGTTCTAGAGGGGAGAGGGGTGGGGGGATGGGTCAGCCTGGTGATGGGTATTAAAGAGGGCACGTACTGAATGAAGCACTGGGTGGGTTATACGCAAACAATGAATCATGGAACACTACATCAAAAACTAATGATGTAATGTATGGTGATTAACATAACATAATAAAATTTAAAAAAGAAAAAAATTAAAAATGCATCGATCAAAAAAAATTTTTTAAAAAGTCTCTTGATAGTACTGCAGTCAACTCAAATTCCCTGTCCCTTAAATTCCTCTTTTATTCCAAAACTTATTCCTTCTTTGGAAACAGTGGAATTGCTATGGGAGCTTGATAGTTTAATTTTTTTCATATATATGACTTTGCCTTCTTTTTTCGGAGTAATATTCAGTGAGCCTCCAAATCCTTGTTGATTCTCATTTTGACATTCCTTTTTCTATTTATAACTGCCACCACCTAGTTCAAACTTCTATCATTTTTCCTCCAACTTGTTGTCTTGCCTAGACTAAATCCTACTAAGGTATCACTTTCATAGGCTATAGTCCCAATACAAAAATGATAAATGCTTGCTCTTCAAATACAATTTTTTCAATCCTGACATTTAAATTTCTGTATTCTGTATAAAATCAGTCTTTATCCTATCTTTCAAATTTTATATTTGTCTTCTGGAAAGTTATCTTCTCTTGGCTTTTCTTTTCCTATCTCTCTGAACTTTTTTCTTTCTTGTTTTCCTTTTTTGGACTTATTTTAAATTGCTTCTTAAATTTGGTCAGGATTCTGTTCTTGGCTCTCTTCTCAGACAACATATTCTCCATGAGTGAAAGTATAGTCACAAAAATTCAATTATTTGACAATGCCTCAACCTGTATATCCAACTTAGGTCTCATTTCTGCATTAAAATCCATATATCTAGGAGCGCCTGGGTGGCTCAGTCGGTTAAGCGGCTGCCTTCGGCTCAGGTCATGATCCCAGGGTCCTGGGATCGAGCCCCACGTTGGGCTCCCTGCTCAGCGGAGAGCCTGCTTCTCCCTCTCCCTCTGCCTGCTGCTCTGCCTACTTGTGCTCTCTCTGTGTCAAATAAATAAATAAAATCTTTAAAAAAAAAAACAAAACCCATATATCTAAGGGCGCCTGGGTGGCTCAGTCGTTAAGCGTCTGCCTTTCGGCTCAGATCATGATCCCAGGGTCCTGGGATCAAGCCCCACATCGAGCTCCCTGCTCAGCGGGAAGCCTGCTTCTCCCTCTCCCACTCTCCCTGCTTGTGTTCCCTCTCTCTCTGTGTCTCTCTCTGTCAAATAAATAAAATCTTAAAAAAAAAAAAAACACCCATATATCTAAGTGCTTATTGGACATCTTCACTTGGCCATTCACATGCGATCTGTAGAAAATCTAACTTTTAGGAATTTTCTTGCTAGTATGTATGCGTGGTCTAGTTTAATGTATGACACCTATCATTTACCCAGTCCCACAAGTCAGAAACTTGGAAGTTGTTCTGGCACTTTTTTTTTCCTACTCCCACATCCAAGTAGAGATATCCTATGGATTTTACCCCTTAATATCTCTTTTTTCCATGGCATCCTTACTGCTGTTGCCTTAATCCAGGTCATCATCTCCTGGTTACACTGTTTCGAGTCCTAAGTGGTGTATGCCTTCAGTCTCGAAGTCCTCCTCCAAGCTACTGCTTTTCCAAAATACCAATGGGGTTATGCTATCAACTTGCATAAAGCCCTTCTAATTGTTCTCTCTCACCCTCAGCATAAGGTGATAAAGCACAAAGCCCACTGGATGCCATTCAAGGTTTAACAGGATTTGACCCTGCTTTCCTCCTCAGCCTTCTCTCTCACTGGGCACACTTGCCCCAAACCCATACTCCAGCATTGCTGAACAACAGTTCTCTGTATATTTTTTTATATTCTACCTAGAATAACCTTCTTTCTGTCTCCCTTTTCACTTTGATTAACAAACACAAACACTTTTTTGGAAGCTTTTAAACTTTTATTTATTTAATTTTTAAAGAGATTTTATTTATTTGAGAGAGAGAGACAGCAAGAGAGTACGAGTGGGGGGGCGGGGAGAGGGAGAAGCAGGCTCCCCACTGAAGAGGGAGCCCAATGTGGGGCTCGATCCCAGAACCCTGGGACCCTGGGACCATGACTGAGCCGGAAGGCAGATGCTTAGCTGACTGAGCCACCCAGGCACCCCTTAAAATTTTGTTTTTAAATTAGTGTGCAGTAAAATCAATTTGTTGTGCAGTTCTGTGAATTTTGACACAGATAGATTAGTGTAACCACCACCGCCATAATCAGGATATAAAATATTACCCTTCAAACTCCCTCTTGCTATCCCTTTGGAGTCACACCCTCCCCCACCCATAAACCCTGGCAGCCACTGATTAGTTCTCCATCACTATTGTTTTATCTTTTTGAGAATATCCTATAAATGTACATGACCTTTTAAGCCTGGCTTCTTTCACTTGGCATAATGCCTTTGAGATTCATTTAGGTTGTGTATATTAATAGTTGGTTCCTTTTTATTGCTAAGTAGTATCCCATTTTGTGAATAGCCCACAGTTTGTGTATCCATTCACCCGCTGAAGGACATTTGGGCTGTTTACAGTATTTGACCTTATGAACCTGAGTACAGGTTTTTTTGTTTTTTGTTTTTTTTTAATATAAGCTCATTTCTCTAGAGTAAATACCCAGAACAAACTCACTTTTAAATATTCAGCTCAGGCAATGCCTCCTAGAAGCCTCTCCTGACTCTCGTAAGGTAGCATTGAGCACCCCCCTGTCTCTTGTGCTTCTAATGTCTTCTGCAGATAAGTCAATATATTTTGTTTCATTTGTTTATTTGCATGTATGCTTCTTGCATCCTGTCTGTGATTTCCTTGAGGAGAGGCACTGTATCTCATTCATCTTTGCATCGTCAGGACTCAGTTTCAATGCCTAACACAAAGTGACCAGTTAACAAAGTTTATGTTGAATTACACATCATCCTAAGCCCTATTCTAGCTGAAATTATCTGTGTGTGGTCTCTTGAGCCTACTTATGTTTCCTTCTTTGGAATACTTAAGAGACTGTAGAATGTAATAGCTGAGAGCATGGAGTTTAGAGCCAGACTGCCTGAATTTAAATCCTGCCTCTTTAATTGCCTAAATCCTTTGGCAAGTTACCTAAATTCTTTGTGCCTTTATATGTAAAATGAAAATAATAGTTACTGCCTTGCAAGTGTTGTTGTGATGATCAATCACATTTTTGTGATTGATCACAAAATTTTCTTAGGATAGAGATTGGCAAATACTAAGCACTCAGTAATATTAGTTATTGTTACAATTACTTCAATCAATGTATTTATTTATTTATTTTTAAAGATTTTATTTATTTATTTGACAGAGAAAGACACAGCGAGAGAGGGAACACAAACGGGGAGTGGGAGAGGGAGAAGCAGACTCCCTGCCGAGCAGGGAGCCTGATGCGGGACTCGATCCCGGGACTCCAGGATCATGACCTCAGCCGAAGGCAGTTGCCCAACCAACTGAGCCACCCAGGCGCCCTGTATTTATTTTTTTAATAGAAAGAAATAGCATGGTTTTACTAAGTGTCTGAGTACAGTGTTGGACAATCTTAAAATCCTATATTTTAAACCTCAATCAATGTATTTAAACTTTACCTTTCTGGAGGCAACGGCCTGGCTCAGTCCAAATAGCATGTGACTCTTGATCTTGGAGATGTAAGTTCGAGCCCCAAGTTGGATGTAGAGATTACTTAAAAATAAAATCTTAAAAAAAAACCCTTCACCTTCCTATTAGTTCGTCAGAGCTGATTTTTAGAGGAAATTCGTGCCAAATAATATTTCCAAAATTAAGTCAAGTAATAATTATGTCCCCCAAGATTCCAGGAACAATATCTGGTTAACATTAAGTCATCCATTTTGGTTTTGAAAGTTTTTCATCTTGTTTTCTGTACAGAGAAGCAGTGTCAGCCCCAGGTTTTGTTTAGTTTTGCAGTCAAACACATTGGTCAAGAGTCTTCCATCCTTTAGGAGATTGGTAATATTTTCCTGTGACATGGGGAATTTTATCACTTACTAAAGTTTTGAATAGTAAAGGCTTCAACTGATCTATGCATTTCAAATTGTTGGGTTTGATCTAGTTACAAGTGGAGAGGAAAAATTCAGTAACCATCAATAGCATCAAAAGAATGGTATATAGGCATTTAGTTTCCTTTTCCTTCCCATACAGTGAGGAAGATTCTAGGGTTAGTGTCTCAACTATATTTATATTATGTAAGGCTAAATCAAAGCCTCACATTTCCTTTACAATACTGTTGCCTGAACATCACCACAGAGCGGCATCACAGGATTGGGAAGTAGTGCTTTTCATGAAGTCACCACACACATACAATCATAACACATCAGAGCAGAAAACACTTATTAACACAAAACAAAATGGCTTAAGGATTCAGCAACACTGATCTTTCTAATTTTCCTCCTTTAGGAAGAAAGCACAAAACCTTTGAACTCATAGTCACCTAAAGGCTGAGGTTAGCTTGCCAGGAGCAGGTTTGAGAGATGAGCTAATATCAGGGGACAGATGTTTTCTTTTACATGTAACACCCCATTATGTATTGTTCTCCACCACCCACGCCCAAACGTCTATTCGACCTATGAAACAGACTGCACCAGAAGCACAGATAACCCCAGGTTTCAGGTCTGTAATCTGATCGTGGCCATCGGCAGCCAGAAATGAGTTTCTTTCTAATCAGCTTTCCATCAGTCCCCAGTCACTCATATAAAGGAGCCTGGGGAGAGGACGATTCTCATTGCTCTTTCTTCAGCACCAGGGTTCTGGACAGAGCCTGGAGCGGGCTGCTATTCCTACACCCCTTCCTCTCTCAGTCTCCACCAGCCCTGCTACTGCCCCTTTAGTCCCCCCTGCTGCAGAGAAAGAAAATTACATCGGGATCCATGCAGCCGGCAATGATGATGTTTTCCAGTAAATACTGGGCAAGGAGAGGATTTTCTCTGGATTCAGCGGTGCCCGAAGAGCATCAGCTCCTTGGCAGCTTAACAGTGAGTACTGAGTGGCTGGCACTCTAGAGGAGTGCTTTCTAGGGTAGCGATCGTCTTAGTCTTGCCATGTGGACACCTGATGTAGAGTAAGCACACACACCTCAACTCCTTCCTCTAGCGTCTGAATACCCTGCCTCCCTCCTGTCTGCCTTCAGTCTTCCTTCTCTCTCCATAAAGTGGGTGTCCTGATCCCTGTGTTCTAAACTTCCTTTCCTCAAAGTTTGTAAGTAGAAAGTAAAAAAGTTCCTATCCACCAAGAGCGAGAGGTTGTATGAACCAATGTCTTATATCTACAACCAAAAAAAGTGAGTAGGATTTCGAAAGGCCACTTATTATGAGTAGGAACAGGGAGAAGAAATTAAATAGATTTCTTTGGTTCCCGCAAGACAATTTTGTCTCCTATAGCCCTTCCCATCTACAGAGCTTGTTCTTTAAACACAGAAGTAAGGTTTTTATTCTTGCCTAGAAGTGTTGATTATTGGGATAAAATAAAGATCGGTTCCTTTCAAAAGTTTTCCTGCTTTCCTCATTACTCCATTTTTCATTTTAATTGACGAAATGAAAGCAATATGCCACTTATTTCAGTATTTAAGGCAGTTTTTGTATTTAAATATTAACAGGAAAAAAGTTAACATTTTGCAGGATTTTAGATCCTAATTTGAGGTCATAGTGATGGGATTTAATAAAAAAGACAGTGAACAACAACAACAAAAAGTATTCAGATTCCTAGTCATTAAAAATATTAAATGCTATTTCATTGCTGTAGCGGAGTTTATCAAACCAATTACAATTCAGTCTGTATCATAGAAAATTCTGTTTTAATAGCATAGCTCCAAACATGTGCCAGAAGGTTATATTGTACTGGTGTATTATTACTGCTAGAAATGTTGAAAAGTAATCAGGGCATGTTTTGTAGAACCGTTTAAATCAGTTTGCAGAAATGAGACCAGAAATGTAAATAGATTTTTTTAACATCCAAACATCATGAATATGTGGATGAGATATTACATTGAGGAATTCTGAAGTCATAATGAACTGCTAGAAGGAAAACAAAGAACTCAGAGTTATGGTTAATGTATGACCCTTTCATATAAAAAAGCCTACTTAAATATCTAAGAGCTGTGTGTTATGTGGTGGGAAGAGGACAGATGTTGAGAGTGCGGAGACATTTGAGCTTTTAATGACTAAACATACTGTCAAATGCCAATGTCTGCATACACTTCTCTCCTTCAAGTCATAACTAATCAAATATTCATTTCCGTGATATAAAACTCTAGTGAATGAGGCAATGGGAAAATGTGACACACATGAAAAGAAAGGCAGTGGGGAAATCAGAGGAAGACAGTGGCAAGTCCCTATTCACCGGGTTCCGTATCACATGTACTTTTCTCAGTTTCCTGAGGAAGTGATAGACCGGTCCAACTGCACTGTACTACTATTAGCCAGGGAGAAACGTCTCTGTTTGCCCGAGTCTTCGTTTGCATATAAAGAACACAAAAAAGTACACCCTAACGTCACTTTGTCTTTTAACTGAAAGTTTCCAGCTTTTTTATTTGGTATTTCGGACAGTGGGATCCAAGTTTCTGAAATCTGCTGTTTTTGTCTTTAACCAATAGGACTAAGAGTCATCACTTAGTTCTGTATTATAATAACTTGAGTAGCTAATGAAGTGTTAATCCTTTATAGTTTCTCAGATTTTACTCTTTGCTTCTAATGGTTAGCTAGGTTTTTTTTTCTCTTTCTCTCTTTTCCTTCCTTCCTTCCTTCCTTCCTTCCTTCCTTCCTTCCTTCCTTCCTTCCTTCCTTCCTTCCTTCCTTCCTTCCTTCTCTTTCTCTCTTTCTCCCCTTTTCCCTTCCTCCCTTCCTTCTTTTTTCTTTTATTTGTGGCTGGATTTTAACAGCCACTTTTCAGGAATCCTCTGCTGACACAGATGGCCTTAATTGAATATGCTTCCCTGTGTTGAACTTCTGCAGATAGATTCACACTGACAATGTGGATCTAATTGCAGAAAGTGAGGTTGTCAATTTTAGGGCGCGTCCTGACATATTTCAGAATGAAATGAATATTTTGTTTTTAAGATTAAATGGAAACTATAATTATTGTTGTGAAATATATGTTTGGTCTTATTTTTGTCATGTTAGTTATTAATATAGTTTCCATATTATGCAACCAGGCTAACAGACCAAATTTCATGCTGTAAAATAAACCTAGAAAGTAAAGCAGGAAGTGTCATATATGAGACTTTATACTTTATGATGGTCAGATTTTTGTTGCTATTAAATAAGGTGAAGCAAATCTGATCCCCCTTTAATTTCAACCACCGGCTATCTTAGAGCACTGGAAAATAGTGTCCCAGAGTAAATTAGACTGGTATTTATGATCGAAAGTTATGAGTGATGTGGCAACTTCTCTTTGAGTTTATATGATTGCTGACGCTTCTAGCATATGAATGGAATATCTGACCAAAAATCTAGTTATGAGAACTCTGGGATCCTAACCAATGTTTTTGTGTGTGTGTTTCTACCTTCTTGAAGTTAAGTAAAGCTAACTCTGGCAAAAAGGATGATAAAAAAAGCAGCAAGGGAAACAGCAGAAGTGAAACCAGTCCCGAAGGCGGCAAAACAGCTGTGGTATTCTCACTGAAAAATGAAGTTGGCGGATTGGTAAAAGTGTTGAACCTCTTCCAGGTGAATGTAAACATCATTACCTAACCTTAAAAGTGACTGTGTGCCCAATGACAAACCCGTCCTCTGCTGTGAAACGTTACTGAGTCCATTTCCGGGTAATGTGTTCAAAGGTTCAAAGAAACCAGATTTCATGAAGCTTTATAAGGAAAGTTTGTCTGCCAAGCAATGAAATAAGCAGATTTGTGTCAACTACGTTTTATTAATTCCAAGTGAATCTACTGGTAATTCCGCAGACTATCATCAGATAAGAAAGTCAGTAATTAAAAAATGTGAGCCTCACCCCTTTTGTTTGGCAAAAGGAGCCAAAGAGGGTATCTTTAAATATCAAGAGACTGCAGCCTGATTTGATTTGTTAACATCTGAATTGTGCACATGTCGGGGAGCACATTTATTGCATCAAATGAGATGCATGAGTAGAGGCATTTGGTAAATTCCCCTGAGCCTCATTTTTGCATGAGCTTAACATGTTTTTTGGGGAGATGAGTCACTCTCCTCCTATCGAAGCCAGGGCTAGCTCTCTCTTTATTTTATAGAAATGTAGTAGCCTTTTTTCCAGGTCCAATTTGGTGGCTTGCACCCTCAAGAAAGAGCCTGGTTGAGGGTGAGGTTAGAGAACCCCAGAAAAACTATTCCCCTCTGGCCAGGGCAGACCTGATCGCTACCTTACCCTTCAGCAAGCATTGTGCCTTACAATTGCATTTTGTTTGGGGAGCGCTGGCTGCTGATTTGAGCTGTAAGATAGGGAGCCCAGCTCTGCGTGGTGCCTGGGGCTGCTGGTACAGCGGAAAGATGATGGGAATTGCAGTCAGAGGAGTCAGACCTGTGTTCTCCTGGCTTGGCTAACCACTAGCTGCTTCCTAGCTTCTATTTCTTTATTCGTAAAATAGCGATCATAATTCCTACCTAACAAGGTAGTTGTGATGCAGTAATATGAGTGAAAGTGCCTTGCAAAATGTACAGATATGAGGCCTCTATTGTGATGTCTCTTTGATGACCAAAGAGGGGGAATTAGCAGCCTGATATGGCAAATATTTCCCTGTTCTCTCTTGACCTGGAAGAAAGGATCAGATACCATAAACAGTGGTAATGGAAATCTGGGGAAATATTTTACACATAATTATATCATCCAGTGCTGTCTCCACTCAGTGCCCCAAGGCAGGCCAGAATCCCTGGAGAAGGAGTTAGCAGCCCAGAGTTTTCACATGGCCATCAGCTAGTCATTGGGTCTTAGCTAAACCACTTAACCCATCTGGACCTCAGTTCCCTTGTCTAAAAATACCTACTCTGCTTCAACCAATGGGCATTAAATGCCCAAAGTGACACAATGTGTGTGAAGACTCTTGACCTTAATATTAGTCTTACCTTTGTTATCAGCCAATTTAGAAAATATGGTGTGACTGTGAAGGTTAATAAAAACAAGACTAGAGCATCTAGTTTCCCGGTCACAGGACTAGTTTCTTTATACAGAGGAGGATGCTGTTTGATTTGATGTTACTCTGCAGTGGGAATCGTATTAGGAATGTGAATTGATAATCACAGGATATCAGCTGGTGTGATGGGGAGGTATGGGCTTATTCAGGGGTAGGCTAGAGTGGAGATGAGAACTTAGTCTTCAGTCAACTCAGCAGAAAGGAAAACGCCTCACTGGGCAAGTTTAAACCTGATGTTTAAATATTAAATTGCTGCCTCCCCACCCCTTGAATACCTTATTGTAAGGAGACTTTTACTCCTGAAATCCCTGGTGGGGTGATGGTTGCAACGATGCATCCTTGCATGAAGCTAGTCTGGAGGTTGCTGAATCAGAACAGTTAATGAATGGTCCCATTGAGGGGTGTTTTTCGGTTGCTGTTTGTTTTGTTGTTTTGTTTTTGTTTTTGCCTGTAGAGATACTTTCTTGGCTGCTTTTCTTCCTTTTCTTTGGCTTGTGACTCCCAGCCACCTGCCCAGGGTCTGCCTCATTTGCCTACCATTTGTACTATTTACGTGTTTTTTCAAAGATTATTTTTAAACCTTAATTTAATGTATAGTGGAAACCTTATACCACTATTAAATCAGGGGTTGAGTTTTAGCTATGGTTTTGAAAACATATGAAAATAAAAATATAAATTTGGGGATGATACGATGATGTGATAAGCTAATTTCCCCTTGCCCCCAACTAGCAATGCACACCCCCAGTGGGATGTGGACTGTGCAGGGAAATGATGATATTCATAATTATAATACATTTTATAGGGCCCTTTATATGCTTTTATATACCCTCTTCTTTTTTTAAAAAAAGAGACAGGGAAACCTACATACAGTCTCTATTCCAATTAACAGAGGCACTGGTTGAAAACATTTCCATGTTTTAGTCAATCAAAGAGCAAGGAGATTGTTTTTTTCTCCTTTGTGGGTACTTGGTACCTGTTCTTAAGAGTTGAACAAGAATAGCCCTTGGCGTCCCTTTTATTGTGCCGTGAAGATAATTTAGAGATGTTGCTCATATTTCCACAGGAAAAACATGTCAACATGGTTCATATTGAGTCCAGGAAATCCCGGCGAAGAAGTTCAGAGGTTGAAATCTTCGTGGACTGCGAGTGTGGCAAAACCGAATTCAATGAGCTCATTCAGTTGCTGAAATTTCAAACTACAATTGTGACGCTGAATCCGCCAGAGAACATTTGGACGGAGGAAGAAGGCAAGGCCAGCTTTTCCTTGTCGGGTGATTTAGCAATCTGACAAATGTTGCAAAAAGGAAAATACAATCTGTGAGCTAATATTTTTGAACCCGCACTGTGTTTTCAACAGAACTAGAGGATGTGCCCTGGTTCCCCCGGAAGATCTCTGAGTTAGACAAATGCTCTCACAGAGTTCTCATGTATGGTTCTGAGCTTGATGCCGACCACCCAGTAAGTGTCCAGTCAAATCCATTCCATACATGCTGGTCCAGCTCCACGCATGTGCCAGGCAGCGTGCCATGTTGTGTGCTTTATTGTGGAGCAATTTATTATTTATTCCCCATCCCTGAGAGCCAGCTTCCCAATGATAAATCTTCCCTGTACATATGCGTTGGCTGGAAGCAGATTAGAAAGATGGCATTTCCACGTAACATTCGTTCTTAAAAGGGTTGGTTAGAGAAGGAGATTCTAAACCTTGGAGAATATTTCTGTAGCATTAGACAGTGTGAAATATACTTGCAGATGGTGACCCTTGGAAAAACGATGAACTGAAATTGATCACCCCTTTGAGAAAGGAGGGAGGACTAGGCATTATGGGGCTCAGTAAGAGAATAAAATTCTCCTTGCTATTTTCCTTGACTGGAGGTAGTTAGGAGTAGAGTAATGCGGTGGACTTCAGTCTCAATGGAAAGGGAGAGAGTTTTAGAATAAGGTCGTGATGGAAAACACATCTCTTCCCACATCTACCCTGAATCTATTTACCGCTATCTCTCTTCTATTCCAATAAAAATGACCACCTTTAAAGAAATATGATACGTAGGTAAGCATTTCCCATTATTTCCTCCCTCCCCCTTTACATCAGTTTTTATTTGACACAAGAGACTTGGAACTTCTTTATGGTCAGAATGAAGTACAGTTAAGAGTCTGGGAGAAGTAAGCAATATACTCATTTGTTACAAGCATTTTTTTTTTTTTTCCCAGTGCCCCTTTCTACAAATGGGCAGATAAAAGGGTAAAACCCAAGCAGATCAGCCAGGCTTATAGAAGGGCTTTGTGGTCTGAGGTATTCCTTTTATTTAAATGGAGGAAATCTAGAAATCTGACGTGTGACTATTAACCTATGCAGTGGTTCTCCAAGCGTGATCCCAGGCTTGGCTGCATTAGCATTATCTGGGAGTTTGTTTTAACAAACCTAAGTTTGAGAACCACTGCTAGAGAGGATCCTACAACATCTTTAATTAGAGGGAAGGTTTCAACCAAATTAGTCATTTGTTATAATATACCAATTCAGACCAATTCATAACATACCATTCAAGCAAATGGTCAAACAGACTTAATTCATCTGCATTATTTTCAAGAAGCTGAATTTACTCAGAGACACAGTGTTACATTTGCCAATCCAAAACTTCAGAATAATTCACAGTAAGTCACACATAAGGCTCCTGAACACTCAAAGTGCCTTTAAGAATCATCCGTTTGTTATTTCCCCCCTCCCCTTGCCCCCTGCTACTTTCAGAGGAGTCAGACTTCACACAGAAGCCTGATTTAAGAGATTAGCAGTAATAGGACTTTCCAGATACCAGCTGTTAACTTGCAGGATGACCTTGGGCAAGTCCCTCTACCTCTGCGCCTCAAATTCTTTATGTAAAAAGTGGAAATAAAATCCTTATTGACCTCCAAGGGGCATTTGAAAAGCCTAGTTAATAAAACAACTGGAAAGCATTTTGGCAAGAGTAAATGCCTAATCCCAGGAATGGAAATGCTCTATTAAATCATTCAGATCAATGCCTGGATAGTAAAGGATTTCTTGCGAACCTCCTATTTCCAAATGCTCCCCTTAGTCTAGTTCTTCAATTACTCAACCGGGAGAAAGGGGGTCAGCTTTGTTAGTGTAATAACCACAGGAACCAATGACCTTGTGAAGGAATTGATTCTGATACTTAGTGTAAATTTTCCTGTGTTTAAGTCTGTTCCATTACTCCTAATTATACCCACCTTATGACGTCTCCTCTTATTTTCTGTGCAGCCAGTTGAAATAATCCCAAGTATTTAGCAATCTTCAACCTCTCTCATCATTTTTTTTTTTTACCACATGTATTTCTTTTATAAGCACACCAAATGTTCGTTATGCAAAATCTGGTATTGGTAAGTTGATGTTTTTTGTAAGTTATTATTTGGTGAGCATGGAAAAAGTGGTCTAAGGACCTTTGGTGCCTGGGAATACTCCCAGTTCTGAGACAGGGATTACTGTGTCAGGATGGTGCCCTTGTACTAAGGTGGCTCGGAAGGAGCTGGAATGGGAGAGTCAGGTTGCCGAGGCTCCCTAGAAAGGGTTAAACATCTATCTAGGTCAGTGTCTCCCAAACTTTGCTGAACAAACCATCTGGAAGATCTTTTCAAAGTGCAAAGTGAGGTCCTGCGTGTCTAGTGAGCTCCCAGTTGAGGCTTACGCTGGAGGTCTGCTACACTTTGAGTAGCAAGGATCTAGACTGGGAGGGTCTCTCAAAGTGTGGTTCAAGGCCCAGCCATAAAGTGCTTATTAAAAATGCAGTTCCTTAGGGCTCATCTGAAGCCCACTGAATCAGAACTTTCAGGATGGACCCTGGAATCTGCATTTAAAAGAATTCGCAGGACATCTGATGAGCTCTAGTGTTTGAGAACTAATGTTCTAGCTCAGTGATTCTCAACATTAGCTTTCTATTCAAATAATCTGTGGGGAATTAAAAAAAAAAATACTGAGGCCAGGGTCTCACCCCCAGAGTGCTTAGATCATAACCTCTGGGAACGTGTCTAGGTTCAGAGTATTCCTTAAAGCTCCCCAAGGGATTCTAATATTTCACCAGGGTCCAACTATTTGGGATAGCTACTTGAGTGCCAACTCACACTTGGCTGAGCACTTTAGGGTGCTGGCTGGCTCTTCAGTTCCCCTTGATTTAAACTGAGAGAGGAAGGATGGGTGTGGGGCAGATACTGTCTGGGGATTAGCGTTGCCAGATTTAGTAAATACATATATAGGATGCCCAGTTAAATTTGAATTTCAGGTAAACAAGGAATCAGTTCTTAGTATAAGTATGCCCCAACTATTGCATGGGTGTCCTCCGTGTTATCTGGTAACTTTATCCCTGCCTTCAGTCCAGAATAGATGGCCAAAGAATGCTCTGCCTCTGTGATCACTGGTGTAGCTAGCGTCCCTGTTTTATTTTGCTAGTCCACAGTTCAATCTTGGCAGCTGTGGATCGCCAACGACATTTGCATAATCACTGCCATACTAGGCTAATGAGGCATGTTGAGTAAATCACTCTCTTGCATGCCTGGAAAAGGTGCAGGTGTTTGCCAAGGAGAGACAGTCGAGAACCTTCAGGAAGCCCAGCCGATAACGATGCTTGCAGGGTGATGTCTGGTTTGGCAGGAACTGGGGAACAGGTGCTGTGCTTTTCATATGACTCTTTGCCTTTTGTCATGGCCTGCTTTCCTTCTGAGTAATAAAGGTGCTTGGAACCCCCGTTTTGCTCTCCTAGGCGGCCCGATATTCCTAGTGACTTGAAGCTCATACTTTCTCCTCTAGAGCAGGAGACCTTCTTTAGGTCACAGACACATTTGGTAATGCAGTAGCTTGGTCACAACATTTTGTGTGTACACATTTTAAGGCCTCGTAAGCCTGCCTATGAACCCCAGTTTGAAAACTCCCAATTCATAACAGAGGAAAGAAAGTGCTAGCTTCTCTGGCGGGCATACTTCATTTCTTCGGGGTGTCTGGGTGATCTCAGGGTACTCTCTCTCTGTCTCCCACTGACAGTAATGCTCTTAGAGAGAAAGGCTGTTAGCAGTGGAAGTTCTTTATCTCAGCCCAGCAGACGGTCCTCAATTCTCCTCAGTTCTCCTTCAGCCATACAAGAGAACAGAGTGATTTTCTCTGTGTTTCAGGTGCCTCCTTGAACAGCCCACTTTTGCAGAAGCGTGTAAGCCATAGCAGAGGTAATCTGGGCTTCCGTGGGCCTGTCTCAGCTCTCCTCTCAGGGCCCGTGATCCCAGCGGCCTGTCTGGCCCAGCCTCCATTCTCCACTGCTTCCTGGTTACGCTTCGAGCTCACAGGGTTGCAGACGTAAGAAGTTAAATGGAAACAATTCCTTCTGGGTTTCCAGCAGTTTGAAAAAACCAGCCCAGAAAGAATTGATTGAAAGTACCTGAAGGAAAGGAAAGTGGAAGGTCTGTTGACAAGAGGAGAGATTCTTGAGTAAACCGGGAAGTTCCTCTCAGGAGTATTCCACTTGACAGAACAATGACAGTCAGGATGTTTAACTTCCCAAGTGCATGATGACGGACAGAAGCCTTGCAGTTCCTAAAGACTAAACAGAATCAAAGGGAACTCAGAGTGGAATGGAGCTCACTTGCTACCCTGTGCATGAATCCCTTATAATCGATTTTGCATTATGTGGCTATTCTCATAAAAAACAGCAAAACCTCTTTAATCCATGCTAATTTGGGGGATTCAATGATTATTCTGAATGATAGAATTTTTAACAAATGTGCATTTATTGGCTATTTACCCAAAGCAATTACATTTAGGTTAACTTACTAAATAACCATGTTAAAGGGACCTGTTTTAATGAACAGGATAAGATTAACTCGTGATTAACATCAATTACACGTAAATGATACTTGAAAACCAAAGATGCCATTCACTTTAGCCTGAATTCCCATGCATCCCAAATTAGTACAACCCAAATGTAATGAGGTTTTACTGTAAGGCCAGTTCGCTTCTGCCTGTGCCATGAAGATGGTCATCCAAGGATAAAATTCACATTTGACTCCAACACTCAATAACCACCACGGTGATTTTCTTTCAGGCCTGCTGCGGCGAATTTTTTGGCACTTTGTTAAATAACTTAATCTCTTTTCTGTTTAAGGGATTTAAGGACAATGTCTATCGACAGAGAAGAAAGTATTTTGTGGATGTGGCCATGGGTTACAAATAGTAAGTACCTGTGTAACTCTTTTCTGCGACTTGTGGCCGGCTAATTAGGGGAAACCTGCTGTGTTAAACAGACCCGCCTTGTCTTCACTTTAACTTTTGCAGAAGGCAGACACGAACCATTTTAAACCCTCACCAACCTGGTGGGGTTTAAATGCCAACGCTGATGTTTCACATCCAGGTGTAATTGTAAAATAATGAGACCCACAGGCCACATGCCAAGCACTCCATTTTCACCATTGTGTTTGCCGCTCTGCCAAGGCATGGGGCCATTTTCGTATATACGCTGCAGGGTCCGGAAAATGCGTTTGAATTGTACTTTTGATTTGACTTGTCAGTAACCCCCTTCAATGTCCAGCTTCCCCGGTGAAAGTAGAAGAGTCAGCAGGAATGGTGCAAGGGTTCATGTAAGCAGCCTTAATAGAAAATAAATGTGTTTGCTCTACATGGAAAGGAAAATTCCCTGTAAACTGGAGGGCTTATGGGAGAGGTTCATACCTAATCCCAGATCCCAGTTGGGATGAAGTTGGAGAACCTCAGGACTGGGGTTAGCACGGTGTCTCGTGCATGGTGTGTGACGGGATGTTTGAGACCGGCCGTAATGTAATGTGTTGACTTGCAGGAGTGGCTATTGGCCTCTGTTTATTGTGCTCACATTAATAAAACATGTAGACCCTCCGGGCGCTGCCTTTCCTTTGTCTGGTATGTGATCAGTTACACATATCATGTCTTCCGAACAAAATGTAACTCCATACCCCATAGGAAAGGGTCTTTCTTATTTTAGTTGCGAATAGGTGAGAAGCTTGACTGTCCTGTGCGGCAAGTTTGTCTAGGGTGAGTTTCAGACATTTTGTGTGTTTTAGAGAGTATCATCCTTTGCTTTTTTCTCTTCCTCTTTTTTTTTTTTTTAAAGAATATGACACACAAGGGCTTAAAGCCAAGTCAAAGGATTCCACATCACACCTCTGACCGAGTCAGTTGTGTGCTCATTTCTAACTTCCTTTCATGCTTTGGTGCTCTTTCCTTCTTCCTCCCAAGCCCCAGGCATCCTTCGTTCTTTCTCCCCCATGTTTATGATCCTAAAACCCAGGACCACTTGGCACGTGCTTTTCCACACGTGTCTACTCCATTTTTGTTTTCCTCTGTTCCAGGCAGCTTCTTGACTGCCTTTAGCCTCCTGTGGCTTTCTCCCCCGCTCACGATGTCAGTGTGCACAAGGCTCGTCCTGGCCCAAGCCTCCTTCCCACCCTCAGCACCATCACTCACGAACACCATCTCCCACTGTTTCCCAGTCAAATTACCAAGAGAGGACCCTGATGGGCTGGGCTCACTTTTTCACATCAGGGTCTGATAATTGATTATGAGCCTTCAGCTTGGCTCTCCTTGCTTCACAGATTGTCCCTGGGGAATCAGGTCATACATGGGTCCTTAGAAGGGGTGTGAGCAGGACTGGCCTTTAGGGCATCACCTGCCCACGACATGATAAAAGCTCAGTGCTTGGCAGAGCTTTTTTCTTTAGGTAGAACAGATGGATAAGTATGTATTTTATGCATAGATGGTATATGCATTATACCTATGTAAAAAATATATGTATGTATGTGTGTGTGTCTATAAAGAATTTCGATAGCATAGTGATCAAGGAACTATCTCAAATGTTACTTATTTCTTCTGGAAACAGCCCAGAAATGGGTCAAGACAAGCTGATATTGTGGTGACACTCACTTTCAAGGGGCATTGACCATGGGGACTCTTTTGGTTTTAAAGAAAACATACTGATAGGGGCAGAAGAGGAAAAAAGCATATATCAAAATGATGGAGGGTGAAGCTCTCAAAGCATTAACAGGAGTTTGCGTTTGCCACCTTCCCTCAGCTAAAGAGGAAAATCGAAGTGCAGTGTCTGTGGAAAGCAAAAGTATAAATTGGCGGTTGGAAATGGTAGAGATCTTTTTTTTTTCCTGCAAAAAGCTTTATTGTTTGTTTGGCCCACTACTCAGGAGAAGGCTCCAGGGTGGCTAAAAAGCTGCCTCACGGCTGCAGGAAGAGGCTCAGGCAGGAGCCCTGGCACCAGGGGGATGCCAGAGGGGCCTCTCAAAGGGTGAGCCTTTGGAAGAGACACCCACACAGCCCAGCCTCGGGGGCCGCCAGCCTGTGGAGTTAGCCAGGTGGTTGCCATCTTCTTGCTGAGTCTCACCTGCTCATATAGGAAGTGGGTCTTCAGGAATCACAGAGCTGGGGGTCTGCGTGGGCAGAACCTGGGCACTGCAGATCTAGAAGGGCCTGCTTCAGGCTCTTCTCTAGAACCGCAGCAGCTTCCATGGGATGGCTTCTGGGCATCCTGGAGGAAGGCCTGGCTGCTGTGTTTTTACCTCTACAAGAGGTGCTGGGCACCCTCGTGATTGTCCTTGGCCGATTTAGGGAGGAAGTGGCCCATGCCTTCCAGAGCCACACCAGCATGATAGAAATAGAAGCCCAGAGAGAGGTAGGTGCAGGAGGCCTGCAGACGCATGCTGACCAGGCTGTTGACGGTGGCCTCCACCTCGGGGGAATAATTCTGACCAATCTGCAAGCTCCTGGTTGGTGGCCAATAAGGAAGCTAAGCTCAAAAGATGGCACTGGCTGGTTCCAGAGGCTGAGTGTGGCTGAGAAGGTGGCTCTGAACGTTATGACTGGAGAAGAGGTTGGAGGGTAATGGGAGGTGCGAAGGGGCATCCCAGGATCTGGCCCCTGTTTACAGGGCTGGGGAGTGCTTAGGTTCAAAGGCCCTCACTCAGTAAGTAGAGGTTCAAGAGGCTGAGGTAGACAGGAAACTGCCAATTCATCATTTTACAGAGAGAACCTACTCTCATACGATTCACAAAAGTCCCTGTTGTCATGACCCCATAAAGGCTAGACATTACCCTGATGGTGATTTGGTGGCAACAGAGTCAAAGCAAAGGGTGTTTAGTGAAGAGAGTCTGGAATCCAGGGGCTTTATAACCCTCTCCCCGGACAGTGCCGGGTCCAGACTGACGACCTCCAATAGCAAATAGATGAAAAACAACAAAATGATTACAGCATTGGAGCCAGCCGGTCTGGGGTTCAAGTCCTGGCTGCACGGCTTCCTCGCTGGGTGATCATCACCACTGGGCCTGTTTCTTCATCCGGAAAGAGCGTCTCCACATACGTGTGACCCACCTCCCGGGGTGGTCGCAGGGGCCGCCCTGCTGTGCCTAGCACAGGGCCTGGCACGTGGTTTGTGATCGTGCCACTCAGTATCAGTACATCTTCCCCTGCCCCTTTTCCACGGGCTGTCTTCCGTTTCCAGTTGAACTATTGTTGTATTCTTTAGCTATGTTAACACCATTGTTTATGCTGCCACCTTAACAAATACTGTAGCTCCAACGTCCCTAGAAGTCATCCTTGGGTGAAAACTCCTCCGGTTCCCCATTTAAAGACTGTTCCCTATACTGAAGCATTTAGGGCAGAACAACATCCTTCTTTATGGAAAGATTTCATAGAAAGCAATCATACCCGTGTGTGTGTGTGAAGCTGCCAAAATACAGATTCCAGGAGCACCAACGCAACTGATGATCTGTTAAGTTGACAGAGTGGGGAAGGTGCCTAGCAGGGGTGGATAAATTTGGAAAGCACAAACCAAGGGCCTGTGGAAAGTAGAGAGAAAAGAATCATTCCTTAATGGCTTTTATGTCAATGCCGCTGTGGCTTCTCTCAGGAGGAGTTTGAGGATGGTTAAGGGCTAGCTATTTGTGTGTGTGTGTGTGTGTGTGTGCGCGTGCACGCGCGCATGCACGCACGTGCTCACACAAGCACACAGAGGACTGGAGGTCAAGCTTGTGTTAGGGGCTGGTGGGTGTGGGGCACAGGTGATAACAAATCCCAAGTGGGCCTGGCCGGTTTGCCCCGAAGTAAGTTAGGTGTCCTTTTTGTTCACGAAGAATAAAGATGCAATTTCTAATTGAAATAGGTATTTTTCTAGTGCTGATGGCTTTCTGAGAGAGCAAAGGAAAAGGATGTACATGATAAGTACTTAAAATAAGCTCATTAGAGTGGCTTCTGGCAGCATGCTGCAAACTGGTTTTCCAAACGGATGCTTGGAACCACTGGTCTGAGAAGCAGATTATTTGAAATTGAGGCGATCCTGAAAAATCCGGCATGTGAGGTCCCAGCAAATACAACTGGGTGATAAAACGAGAGACCATTCTGACACGTGGAGAACAATTCAATTCCCTATTGATAATTTGTTTAGGCTTTCTGGACCCCGAGCAGGTCAAATAGATGGTCGGAAATAGAGACGAAGATGGAGTCCAGATGTTTGGGGTTGTTGTAGGGATCGGCAGGCTGCAGTCTGAGGTGTCTGAGGGTAAGGGGAGGGAGAAAGGAATGAAAGACCGAATAACAGATACTGAAACCTTGGCCAAGAAGCCCTCCGGGGGATTCGTGTTGAATACTGTATTTTCAATGCTAGTCTTGAAAAGATAAAGCAGGGGGCGAAGAATCAACACAAGCAGAGAAAATGGAAAAATTCCAGTCTCTGATGAAAAAAACCAGCAGGCTCAAGCTCTGTCTCACGGTGAACCCGGAGAGGAGCGGGAGCCGGGAAGGCGGCCGCACGCTGAGAGCTGTCGATAGGGGGCACTCGGGCGCGTAGCTGATTGACAGCGCGGCCGAGAACAGGATTGATTACCCAGGGCCTGAGCCGCGTGGCCGCGAGTGTCGGGGGGAGGCCTAATTGCCTCACCAATCAAGGCAGAGGAATCCGTCCTGAGTGCAAATACATTCTCCGTGGAAGACCCCAGAACGCCCGCCCTGGCTTGAGAGGACACGGCTCCTGAATTCGCGTGGGAGAGGATGCACATCACACACCCTGTCCTCCCCCACCCAAATAATAGAAATTTTGGGGGGGAACAAAGAAGGAAGTAGCTCATGATTAGACGGTGTGGAGCGCATACAGACAGTTCAGAGACTATGCAAGTGCGTAGGGGGCAGATGGCGTGTGGAGGAAG